GATGCAATGCTCCACGACAGGACTCCTGGGATACTGCATCTGCACACAATTACACACTCTCCACCGCCGAGTGTGTCAAACTACACCCCGACTTGGAACCCACGACGTCAAAACTCCTGTGATTCTCCAGCAAGCAAGCTGCAAAGATGACTCAGTACTCTTTTAGACCGCTCGAGCATAAAGAATGTGCATTTGCAGCATCCTCGACCTCGTGCTCTAGAACGGAGCTTGGTATCGAACGACGACCTCGCGCTCACTTGGCAACACTGGGAAAATGGATCTAGCAAAGTGCCTGGATGTTGTCGATGATGATGGTCCCTCCGATTGTGGTCAGTGAGAGAATCCTCAGGCGATGTGGTCGATCCCCAACGAAATTAGAGAATATTGTCGTGTTCTATACATATGCTTGCTGATTCGGTACAGACTGATCAACTTCTGAGGTAAGTGCGTTTACAATTTTTCCGTGGTCATTACCCCCACGATTCCTTGATCTCAAGTCAATCGTCATTGTGTAGTCAACTCCAAAACTAACCCTGGATCAATCCACTGCAATATTCTTGAATTATGAGCTAATATTTCAGCCTTCTGCTACTCTTCACCCAGCCCTTTTCACTGCACCGCAATTTTGACGAGTCGAGAAGCTTCAGAAAGAACCACTTGTGCAGTTGTCATTAAAGAATGCTGGCTCTTCCGAGAGTAATGATGTGTAGTTCAATGTCATCTTTCGGAGCTGAGTGGAACACTAATGCAGTGAACGGAGATGATACGTGATTGTTGTCTGCGGCTGCTAAGATGAACCTACGAGTAGGGTCTAACCCAAATAGAAAAGAAGATCAGTTCTCTGGCGTGCGAGGTATATGAAATCGAAGCTGGGTGGGCGTCCCAGAGGAAGAATGTCTCCGACAAATCTAAAGAGCGAGGATTTTAAAGAGACCAGGAGATCGAAGGAAAACTAGTTAACGCGACAGTCCACAAGTCGGGGTCAACTCATGAGTCCAACACTACAGAACAGGTACTATAACAAGGCAGCGATTAACATTATCGTGATCATGACCACATTTGAGACACCACGATGTTACTAAGCACCGGTGTTTTACCCCCCTTCTGTAATGGATTACAGTATGACAGTCAGTGAAGCCTCACACCCAAAAGTGGTTGTCAAAGCTGTGCTACTGTGAAGCAATGCACCACGACAGGACTCCGGGGATACTGCATTTGCACACAATTGCACACCCTCCACCCCCGAGTGTGTCAAACTGCTCCCACACTCGGAACCCACGATGTCAAAACTCCTGCGATTCTCTAGCAAGCAAGCTGCAAAGATGTCTCGGCGCTCTTTTAGACCGCTCGAGCATGAAGAATGTGGACTTTGAGGATCCTCGACCGCATGCTCTAGAACAGAGCTTGGTATCAAACGACGACCTCGGGCTCACTTGGCAACACTGAGAAAATGGATCATGCAAAGTGCTTGGATGTTGTCGATGATGATGGTCTCTCCGATTGTGGTCAGTGAGAGAATCCTCTGGCGATGTGGTCGATCCCCAACGAAATAAGAGGATATTATCGTGTTCTTTTCATATGCTTGCTGATTCGGTACAGACTGATCAACCACTGAGATAAGTGCATTTACCATTTTTCCGTGGTCATTACCCCCCCCCCCCCCGATTACTCGATCTCAAGTCAATCGTCATTGTGTAGTCAACTCCAAAACTAACCCTGGATCAATCCATTGCAATATTCTTGAATTATGAGCTGATATTTCAGCCTTCTGCTACTCCTCACCCAGCCGTTTTCACCGCACCGCAATTTTGACAAGTCGGGAAGCTTTCAGAAAGAACCACTTGTGCTGTTGTCATTAAAGGATGCTGGCTCATCCGAGAGTAATGATGTACAGTTCAATGTCATCTTTCGGAGCTGAGTGGAACACTAATGCAGTGAACGAAGATGATACGTGACTATTGTCTACGGCTACTAAGATGAACTTACTAGTAGGGTCTAACCCAAATAGAAAAGAAGATCACTTCTCTCGCTTGCGAGGTGTAAACAATCGAAGCTGGGTGGGCGTCCTAGAGGAAGAATGTCTCCGACAAATCTGGAGAGATAGGGTTTTAAAGAGACCGGGAGATCGAAGGAAAACCAAATAACGTGACACTCCAGAAGTCGGGGTCAATTGATGAATCCAACACTACAGAACAGGTACTATAACTAGGCAGCGATTAAAATTATCGTGATCATGACCACATTTGAGACACCACGATGTTACTAAGCACCGGTGTTTTACCCCCCTTCTGTAATGGATTACAGTATGACAGTCAGTGAGGCCTCACACCCAAAAGAGGTTGTCAAAGCTGTGCTACTGTGAAGCAATGCACCACGACAAGACTCCGGGGATATTGCATCTGCACACAATTGCACACTCTCCACCCCCGAGTGTGTCAAACTGCACCCAGACTCGGAATCCACGACGTCAAAACTCCTGTGATTCTCCAGCAAGCAAGCTGCAAAGATGTCTCGGCGCTCTTTTAGACCGCTCGAGAATGAAGAATGTGCACTTGCAGCATCCTCGACCTCGTACTCTAGAACGGAGCTTGGTATCGAACGACGACCTCGCGCTCACTTGGCAACACTGAGAAAATGGATCTAGCAAAGTGCTTGGATGTTGTTGCTGATGATGGACCCTCCGATTGTGGTCAGTGAGAGAATCCTCAGGCGATGTCGTCGATCCCCAAAAAATTTGAGAATATTGTCGTGTTCTATATATATGCTTGCTGATTCGGTAAAGATTGATCAATCACTGAGGTAAGTGCATTTACCATTTTTTCGTGGTCGTTACCCCCCCAATTACTCGACCTCAAGTCAATCGTCATTGTGTAGTCAACTCCAAAACTAACCCTGGATCAATCCACTACAATATTCTTGAATTATGAGCTGATATTTCAGCCTTCTGCTACTCTTCACCCAGCCCTTTTCATCGCACCGCAATCTGGACGAGTCGGGGAGCTTCAGAAAGAACCACTTGTGCAGCTGTCATTACAGGATGCTGGCTCTTTCGAGAATAATGATGTGCAGTTCAATGTCATCTTTCGGAGCTGAGTGGAACACTAATGTAGTGAACGGAGGTGATACGTGACTGTTGTCTGCGGCTACTAAGATGAACCTACCAATAGGGTCTAATCCAAATAGAAAAGAAGATCACTTCTTAAGCGTGCGAGGTGTAAGTAATCGAAGCTGGGTGGGCATTCCAGAGGAAGAATGTCTCCGACAAATCTGGAGAGAGAGGGTTTTAAAGAGACCGGGAGATCCAAGAAAAACTAGATAACGTGACACTCCAGAAGTCGGGGTCAATTGATGAGTCCAACACTACAGAACAGGTACTATAACTAGGCAGCGATTAACATTATCGTGATCATGACCACATTTGAGACACCACGATGTTACTAAGCACCGGTGTTTTACCCCCCTTCTGTAATGGATTACAGTATGACAGTCAGTGAGGCCTCACACCCAAAAGAGGTTGTCAAAGCTGTGCTACTGTGAAGCAATGCACCACGACAAGACTCCGGGGATACTGCATCTGCACACATTTGCACACTCTCCACACCCGAGTGTGTCAAACTGCACCCAGACTCGGAACCCACGACGTCAAAACTCCTGTGATTCTCCAGCAAGCAAGCTGCAAAGATGTCTCGGCGCTCTTTTAGACCGCTCGAGCATGAAGAATGTGCACTTGCACGATCTTCGACCTCGTGCTCTAGAACGGAGCTTGGTATCGAACGACGACCTCGCGCTCACTTGGCAACACTGGAAAAATGGATCTAGCAAAGTGCCTGGATGTTATCGATGATGATGGTCTCTCCGATTGTGGTCAGTGAGAGAATCCTCAGGCGATGTGGTCGATCCCCAACCCCCCCCCCCCCACCCCCTCCCCTCGGCCTTTGCTCTCTGAATCTAAGCCTCTTGTGCGAGGCGGCTTGAATCCTTCACGAGTTAATCCCATCTCATGTTTCACACCAGGAAGGATGAATTGCATATGAAATGTAAACAACGTTTGGAAAGTAGTGCTCTCATCAGCCCAAATATTTTTATTTTATTTTGGTTTTTGTTTTTAATTTAATCAATTAGAGTATTGACTTCTAGTAGGATGTTATGTAAGAAAGAGAATATTTACTTGAGTAAACATGGAATTCACATGAGATGTCTTTAAAAAACAGATATGTGTAAAGGATTAAATAAGGGTTTACGAGCATTGCAAGGGACTCAATGAGCTCTGTAATATGCCTGCACCGTAGGTGTATTGGTTTCATCACTTATATATTTTTGACCGACTGATGTGGACCAGATCTATAAAGAATCTCAAGCTCCATCGAAATGCAGATGTATTGTGTCGCTCCAACCACCTCTCTTGGAGATCCTCTTCTCAAGAAATCCAAGGCCGGAAGCTGATTGCCAAAAGCGACACAGAAAATAAAGTTGACTATAGAAGATGTATTCTCGACTGAAAAGAATCCAAATCGGAACTTAGCCGAAAACGTGTACTCTCTTTGCACACATTGCTCCAATCATTTCCAGAATTTGCATGGAGAGTAGACATGTCAAACATAATAATGCAGGAAACCACGACCAGCAAACGGTCCACCAGATTTGTCTGCTGCTTGACCTCAACCAGCAGATCTTTCACTGTCACCACCACAAACGTGAATATTGACCACGATGTACAAATCACAAATGCCCGAATGTAAACCACAACACAATGGCTCTGTACAGGAATCAAAGCTCAGCGATCTGCGAGGCAAAAGGGTTTGGAGGAGGAGACTGCAAGGAGAGACGCAATCAATGCAGAAGTCGCAAAATTCTGGGGGCTCGTAGCAACTGTTGATTTCACCCACGGAAAATCCTCATCCCGGATCGTCGGCGACTTCCGTTTGATTTTCATTCATCTTCTAACCCAAATTTCAAGTCAGGGCAATGTGGTCAGTCTCCCGCCACGGCCTTCAAGTTTGGCTATGGCAGAATCCGAACACGGTTTCTGGCAGCCTTCATCAGCGTGGTCTCGCATGACCATCCCCACCAGCAGGCCTACGCAGTCTTTTATACATTCGCAGACTTAACTGCTATTGTGTCGCGGGAAATTATGATATTCTAGAGAATGGGCTTTGAGATTCTGTCTTTGAGTGGATGTCTCTGTGGTCGTAAAATCTGCTGAAGCAGTGTGTGAGACAGTGCTTGGTAGTGTTAGAGAAGGAAGATACGTGGATACCGACAATGGCAGCCGCAGGCGCCGCGGTGGATGATCCATACTTGCTGCAAGCAAACCTGGACAACACCATGAGCAAGGTACGATGCTTACACAAGTTTGTGTGGTGCTAGGGTTTCGTTTTGGTGCCGTGATTTGTATCTGGTTGATGATTAAACTGTTAGAATGTTCGTGTGTGTGCGTTTAGCAGCGAAGGTGGCCTGACGTAGAGTGTGAGTAACGGGTGCATCATATGCAGTTCATCATTAAATCCGTGGCGTTGTGCTATTTTTGGTATGATGGTTCTGATTGCATGGAATGCATATTCTACGTCCTGAGTAGAAACGAGTGACTTGAATGGCAGATCATGGATATGGAAGAGCAGATCGAGCGGCAGGAGGAAGAAGTTGCGAGACTGGAAATGCTCGTCAACGACAGTGACAGGTGCACAATCGTGGTGTTTGTCACTCAGGTTTATGCAATGCTACTCATACTTGCACAGATGTGTCTCAGTGCATGTGGCTTTGATACTTAGTGTCCTACTTGCGAGGGGCTTTGAAGTGAATTGAGTCGCTCTGTCGCGTGTAGGTTTCACGACATAGAATCCGAATTGGAAAGAGCCTCCGGATTGAAGGTACTAACTGTGGGCAGTAATTTTCTGAAAATTCGGATAACAACTCACATACCTACTATGGAAGCGTTGAGCTGGAACCATGATGGCAAATACGAGCATGAACTCATCATCACCTTCGACACGACTGCAATGACTATTGAAGCAGTGCAGGTATTGTTTCTGCTCCAAGTGTTGGATATCAACTGCAAACCATGATTTCATATTGGGGCATTTTGATTGATAACATGCTTTTGTTGGGCACTGAATACGAAGGTGCAGAGAGCCTCACTACTCCTAACGTGTTATCATATACGTACCAATTAGATCTTTCAGCTTTTTGGGATAAGAAGATGTGGATGTCGATGTCTTCAAATGTGTATGCGCAGCTATCTCCAGAAGATGTACCTTACGAGGACCTCTTTGTTGAAGCTAAGGCTCTGAGGTAATGATTCGCCTTGTATTCTCGAGCCTGATGTGCCTGCTTTCATGTGTCGTATTGTATCCTTGAGAAATGCTTGTCCTTTGAAGCGGTACTGAGTAGAAGAAGCGCGAAGATTACATATCATGTAGTGTGAGGTCTAAATTTGCTTGGATTCTGCGTTTGGTCGTGTGTGATTGGTATAGTGCCCTTCTTGAGGCTCCATTGTTGACGAGTGGGGGAGAAGGATGGAGCAGACAGATCCCTAGTCTGATCACCAGAGTACGTCATCGAATTTATGCGAATGTTCTGAAGAGTGCGACACTTGCAGCATCTGTTAAGGATCCTAGGTAATTCATGATTGTGCTCAGTTGCATTCAGTCAATGAACGTCATGGTGCTATTAAGTGTGAGTGACATGCTGCTCTGGACACCACTCACAAATTATCAAGTGATTAACCATGGCAGTGATTAAGGCGAGGCGTCTGATCATGATGCTACAAATGTGTTCTTCTTGACCTACCTTAATGGAGATCAGCGTAAAGAAGCTTCATGTTCCAAATGTTTTGAAGGCTTTGTTCGTTTACTTGAACACAAGTATTATGAGTTAAGAGAGCCTACATCCTTCAAGGATGACATGTTGTGCTGGGCTGTGGCCAGGTACAAGCTGAAGTATCTGCCGGAAGAGAATCTTATTATAGCTACTCTTCCAGGACCTGTTACAGCGAGTATAGAAGCTCCTCATGGATGGCCCATGCCTGGGTTCACCCTGCACTTGAAGTCGCTCATTGCATCATCCAAAGCCCGTGACTTGAAGCCTGCAGGCATTCTCGAACAATGCGTGGTACGCCCTCTACTCTTCAGTCCATTTGCATGATGTTGTCGAGCACTTCGAAAGCATGTACTACTCAGGGCCCTCTTCCAACAGAAGCAGTCTGACTTACATGGTTAGTACCACCTACTTAATTGTGGTATCGTTTGGAATACGGACTCCAAAATCGGTTGTTGATACCTGGTGGTACCACTACGTCACTCAACCATTGGATTCCTGCCACGTGCATTATATGTACTATCTGTGACTGACCCTTAATGAGCTGAGAGTTACCGCCAGTGTATATGATGAGTACGCATCAGTTTATGCATGGTGATTTTGGAAAGGATTCTATTCGGCTTTGTCCGGAAGCTTTTGCTATACAATCTTTATGATGGTCGGTTGACGTGTCCTTGATTGAATTTTGTGCAGGAAGTTGCAAATTCAAGTCCGGAGTCCTCAAGGTTGGATGTGATGCAGTTTCTGCAAGCCATTGAGATCATTCTTTCTGGGAAAAGAAAGGAAGCCTCTAAGCAATATGAACAAAGTACAGTCAAACTGTAGTGACGAGGAAACAGGTGCATGCTTCTTTGTAGGAAGGGAATGTTAAGTACGGAGAATTTGTGGATGGAACCATCAGCTTTAGAACGAGATGTAATTTTGGAACCGGATGGTTGTAAGTGAGACAACCCAAGTTGTGAGATGAGGTTTCAGTTGTATTGTTGATGATGTTTTGAACGCGAACTGTAGGAGAACACCTGAAGTAGTGATCTTGGTATCTGGGTTTGGCCGAGTTGACCACTGCCCACGACGACTGCTTACATCGACTTGACTAGTGCTTACTGTCTGTCACCGCGCATTTTCCTCTTTTGCTGTGCAATAGCATTAGGTGTATGGGTTTAGTTTTGCGTGCTCGGACGAAGGAGTCTCAATCACAATTTTTACCACAATTTTTATCCAACTGGAGCAATTAGAGATTTCTGGGTGTTCTAGGAGTGCTTTTGCAGGGGATAGTTATACTGAGGCAGTACAATTTTTCTGGTTAATCAGGTCAGGAATTCCGGAATTTTTCACGCTGTGATCCACAAGCATACCATGTACACATGGTCGCAGCAAGCCACATCCTCTGACTACAGACAATCCCTCCGATCCATGTAAACTTTGTGTATGGAAATCGGATGCAATCCTACAGGACAAACCAAAACTACAGTCAACCTGACACTAAATGAGAGCCTGGACGTCACTACAAATCACTCGACCAATATGCTCGGCCTGTATTGTGTCCTCATCTAAGTTCACAAGAAAGATAATACCTGAATCACGCTCAAGTTGATCCTGAACGAAGAATCCATTTAAAACACAAAGCCTCTTAGAATTACACACCTCTAAATTAGCAAGACAAGTATTGAATGCAACGACAGGTGAGGAGGACGTCGACCACTTCCAAAGAACCTATTCGTATGGCCCTTTGGAGTAGTGACCATCTGATATCATGCATTGCATGAAGAAGACGACGACTAAGAAAATAGCAATTGGCTTTCATGTAGACAACAAAGGCTACGGAATGCGCGACGTCGAATACTACAAACGCTGTGGATCTCGTAGCCCTATCTACTCTGAAACGTTAGATAGGGTCGTTGTCTGGCTCTTTGGGAGGCTCTTCTAAAAAGGCTCTTCTCCTTCAGCGGGTACGCAATTATCGCCAATGCTGCAGCTCCACCAAGGATCCAGCAGAGTGAAAGTGCCATCACAGAAATCCACGCAGAAACTGACACAGGTTGCTCGTCCACAACGGCATCTATCGAGTTTCCGAAAGAAGTCTCCTATTCCTGCTGCTTGCTGTCGGCGCACAGATTCGAAAACGGATGCGGATACTGCTGTACTTGGTGCAGCAGAAGATACGATGACGCAGGTAGACAGCACAGTGAGGAGATCCGCGAGGCCTGAGAGGCCTGCATCTTCATTCTCGAAGAAGTCGCCAATCCCAAAGAACCGAGGTTGCAGTTCTGAGTCGAGCTCCAAGAGGAAGTCATCAGCTGAGGCGGGTCCAGTGGCGTTTTAGATGTACGTTGTGACGATCTACACTTTGCTTGATTGAACTCTGTAAGCTGTTCAGCTAGATGCATGCTTGTTGTCACTTTGCTCCTTTAGTTTTAGAAATGAAGGCTTCGGATCAAAGGCTTGTGTGGTGCTTTTAGATTGAGCACCTTTTCTAAGCTGGTGCGTGTATGTGATGTCTACCCCTCTCCGATTTTAAAATCATCAAGTAGAAGCCTTACAATAGATTTGGCCTTATCATCAATCATTTTATATTATGTTTCTATTATAACCATTGGTACTAAAAAAATATTCAATCACAAAATAAAACTTATTTGAATGAATTTCCACAATCTTGTCATCATATCATAATTCAATTGAAGTAATCATCTCTAAAAAAATCTTCTAACCTACTTTCTTCATAAATACCAAAAATCTTTTCATCTCCTTCTAATACACCTTATGCTCAAAATAATTTTTCAACATCACATTTTCTTTTCTTTTCTTGTAAAATATTTGATATACTTACATGTATTAGTTTTATTTTCAAAGCCTTTAAAAACCTTGTACAAAAGGCATTTATTACTTGTAAGAATATCCTTTTTTTTAGATCTCCATAATACTACTTTATGTTTATACTCCTCTAAAGTTTTAAAATTCTTTAATAAGTCTTGGCAATGGATTTTTTTTATTTTTATTTTTATTTTTTTTAAATTTATTCTAATTGCTTTCATGATTTTGAGGCATAATAGGAAATTATACTATCCTTCTTCAATCTTCATCATGTATTCTTATACAAGTAAAACCATTAGTAAGTAACTTTGCTGCCATTCAAATAGCAATAATTTATGGTTGTTTTAAAATAAGTGGAAAATTATATCTTTAACAAATAATTTTTTCTTTGTTTTTACATCACATCTTTTATTTTTATATCTAGGTAAATACCATATAATTTACCTTGATTAATACTAACTACTTGTATTATCCACTTGTATTTTATATAATTGGCCACTACCATCTTTTATAGATATTCTTAAATATAAGATTTATTTTTAAACCATAATCAATTAATATAATAATTGATTCTTTCATATCTTAAATCTCCACTAATACATTTGTTATTGCTTTGGTCTAATGTTTTTGAGTATAATAACTTAAAGCTTCTTTTTTCATGTTTAGTTGATTTTTAAAAATCATTTGTTGATTATTAAGCCTTTCTTTATTAGTTGATTGTTTATATTACTCAAAAAAATCTTCTTTTTTATTTTTACATTCTCTTGTATCAACAAAATTATTTAATATTGCTTTACTTGTTAATTCTATTCTTTGTTTAATGTCATCGATAAAAAATTTAAAAACTCTTTTTTTAGAAATTTCCAAATTTTCTTTCAATATTAATTCTACCTTAGCATTGAGTACATATTCTTCAAAAGCTCCCTTCAAATTTGTTCTTTCTTCAAATTTGTTGGTAGTCTAGTAGTAAAGAATAATTTTTAAGTAGCTAATTTACCTTTATCTCTACTGTCTTTTAAATGTTTTCTTCAATATTGATGGAATATCTTCTATTGATGATTCTTACAAAGAAAGCCCACATTTCTTATGACATTAAATTTGCCATTTTAAAGAATTTTCTTCTTCTATGTCTTTTTTTTTTTTTTTTTTTTTTTTTTTTTCCTATCAAAGCCTTATATTGACTATTAGCAATATATGCATACATTAAAAGAATTATCACAAGGTCTCTCTAATATATTGCTCCACAAATTATAGTTGTTATTCTTAATAATGCATCTCATGATATTTTTTTCTTTTGCATATTAAATACAGTACATGACTTCAACCTTTTTAGTTCTAAATTTTTATGAGATTTGGAATCATTATCTATTCTTGCTCAATATTTCATAGCCTCTTTTACTATAATACTATTAGCTAACTAGTACTTCTTCTACTTCATTCCAATTTTCTAGTCAATCCATCATTAAGTAAATTTTTTAATTTATTTTGTAACTTTCTATCAATAGATTTAAGATTAAGTTCTACTTTATTTAATTCTAATAAATTTATAAATAAATATACTAAAATAAGATTATTTTCTTTTGAACTTTTTTAATAATTTTATATTTTAGAGAACCTTCTTAAAGCATTTAAATCATCCAAAGAATAATTTTCTTATAATTCAATCATTGTATTTTAAAAACAGATCATCTTTCTATAGATAAAAATATTTCTATAAACTTTTAGAATAATTTATAATAAACTTAACATGTTTTTATTTTATTTTATTTCTAATAAAATAATAAGTTCAAAAAATTGAACCATCTTCTTCTTAAAGACACACTGCAACTCTATCTCCTTCACATAGTACCTTAAATACTTAAATATACCTTTACCTTAAAATAGGTCAATCTTGTCAACTACCAATTATAAAGCTTTATTTATTAATCTCTCTTTGCAATCTTTGTTTTATTGCTACTGCATAAAAAATGCAAATGCTTCAAACAAGCTTCTAAAGTTTGAATTAAAATATATATCTTATCTTTTTAAAGTATCTCTACTTGAAGCTTTTCTTGAAGCTCAATCCAAGCCTCTACTTTCAATTCTCTTGTCTTTATTTTTTATAACTTAAATAATAATAAAATAAAATAAAATGTACATGACATTTTAACTCAAGTCTTTTACGTTGGATTCACCGATTAAATTATGTAATATAAAATTTGATCTAGAAATATATTTAATATTTAATTATAGAAATATTTTAACATATCTTATATTTAGATTTATAATTCAAAAATAATGCATAATATATTTAAAAATATATGTCTTTGCAATCTTAAATAATTGAATGAAATTCCAAAATATTCTAAATACAACTTTGTGAGGATAATATTTATTTTTTAATCCAAACAAGAAAATACCACTTAAGTATTATTTATAATTGGAAACGTGAAATAAAAAATTCAATCAATAAAAAATAAGAAAGAAAAATAAAAATATAAGTGAAAGAAATATAATCAAATAAATAAAATTAATATCAGTTTTTTTCTGATAAAAAGTAAAGAGGTAAAAACTAAATATTTTTGTAGAAAATTCGCTTAAATTTTCAATGACATTAAAAAAATAAGTGATTTCAAGTTATTATCAATAATTTATAAGTGTTTAAAGATAGAAAGTAAACAATAGAAATATTTAATAATTATTTCTTCATTTCAAATTTAACTTGCTTAAATAGTCAAGAATTTAAGCTTTACTAATGTTTACAAATGTGTGTTTGATAGCTTCCTTCTTTGATCTTGATGTTGAGCTTTTAATGCCAAGATTTCTTGCTTGAATTATTATTTTATTTTAATTTTTTTTAAATATTAGAAATTATATTAGCTACTAATATACCAAATTTCACTTCAATCAAATTGCCAAATTTTTACAAATCTAAGAAATCTCTCTTAATTCAAAAATTACCAATTACTAATATTCTAACTTACATGAATTTTAATAACTTTGAATTTGACCAACCAATTGAGCCTAGTTTTACATCACAACCTCAAAACAAATAGATGGATAAATATTTAAAATTTTACTTATAGAATTTCTATACAATTTATAAATTTTTTATAAAATATAAATTTGACTTTTTTTCCTAAAAATAAAATCATTCAAATCTAATAATGACTTTGCATAATTTTTACAAAGTCATCACAAATCCAAAATACTTAAAATCATTATATATATAAA